CCGTTTCAATTGAACCTCGAAGACGAACTGTTTGACCCTTGCGCTTGGACCCCTGGGACTAACTGTTACACCGTTTCAAATGAACCCCGAGGACTAACTGTTAGACCCTTGCACTTGGACCCCTGGGTCTAAACGTTGCGCCCTTGGATTTAGGCTTCTGGGACTAAAGGTTTATCCTTTACATTTGGTCCCGAGCAGACTTGTACCGTACGCATTACAAGTAATCAAATTACTTGTAATCGATCACTTTTTGGAGTAATTTTGTAATCAGTTGATTACTTTTATTAGGCAGTAATCACAAGTGTAATCTAATTACTTTTTGAGGTAATAAAATTACTTGTAACCGTTACAATTTATCCACGGGACCCCCCCCCCTCCCCCCGGCACACGCCTTTTTTTTTATGAAATGACAAAAATAAAAATTGCTTTCTTTTTTGCCGAACGAAAAAAAAAAGATTTTTGTGGAGCTGTAGGAAACGAGGTCAATCTCTTTCTATGTACAGTTTCTGTGGAATGTCCGTTTTTTTTTTTTTTAGCTGAGACTGGGGATTGAGAAGCCCCAGGGAAGCCACAGTGCGTGACAAAGGCCATTCAGGGCGAAGTTTCAGGAAGCAGAATGTAGCTTTGTGAGTCCTTCGTTCAAACTAGCCCCCTCACGCACACACACAGAAATAAAAAAAACAAAATAAAAAAATCCTGCTGAGGGTACCTACTCGCAGCCCGTAGGAGAACCAGAACCGAAGAATGCCTAAAGCGGATGCAAAATATAACAAAGGCGGTTGAAATATTTCCCCATTTCCCCTACGTGGTCTTTGTGACAAGCAATGTTTCGAGTTGAGATGTGGTCGGGGCGATCTCTTCCGCTAATGGATACTGCAAATGATCCGTTTCAAATCCTGGAGCTGCTGCTCTTTTGCATAACATGCGTGCTCATCCAGATGTGAATAATAAAATGAGCGACGCAAACAAATTTGAGCGACAACCCTTGCTCAAGCTTAACAAGATCTAGAACCCCCTCCGCTCCCCCCCACCCCACACACACTGGCAAACGCCTAAATCATTAAACGTCTTCAAACGAATTCTATGCTTGTGTCCGCATTGTGAAGGTGCAACGACCACGAAGAGGGAGGCAGTTTTTCGTCTTCAATACTTGTGCAAATGTGAAATACAGGTCGGAAGTAGTTCATTGTTATGAGCGCTAAAGATGTGTCTTCACACTATAAAGTAATCGGAAAAGTAACGATTACTTCCTTAAGTAATGTCCAATTACTTTTGCCGTCGAGTAATCGAGTAATCTAATCGAATACTTTTAGCCAAGAGTAATTGTAATTGTAATCGATTACTTTTTTTTAGTAACGTGTACAAGACTCCCAGGCAGCACAAAATGAACGGCCGGGCAATGGCTGAAGCATTTTGGCCAGTCACATTTCCTCCGGCCTAAGGCTGGTCAAACTACTATGCCCGAACATGGCTGTGGGCCTTGGCCAAAGACTTGAGGGGACTGGCTGTTGGAGGCTGGCCGATGACCTGTAGCAGGACACAAGCCGAAGGCTAGCAAATAAAGACCGGCCAAAGACTTTGGTATGGACAGAGGCCAAAGGTTAGCATCCGTGCACTGGCCAATGCCATGTAGCCGAAAGCAAGCCGAAGTTGCGCAACAGGACATTGGCCAATCACCTGCGATTGAAAGCTGCCGGAGTTTAGCAAATGGAGGCCGGCCGAAGACTTGTGTCAGGACACAGGCTGAAGGTTACCATCTGGGCACTGGCCAATGCCGTGTGGCCGAAAGCAAGCCGAAGTTTAGCAAAGGGCATCGGCCGGTGTCCTGTGATCAGAGGCAGGCCGGAGTTAAGCAACTGGGCATTAGCCGTACATTAGATGTCAGGTGCTAGGCGAAGAAGTTTGACCGGGCACAGGCCGATGACATGCAGCTGGACACAGGCCGATCCCTCGCGACTAATCATAGGCCGTACCTTTGCGATTGGGTGCTGGCCCTACAGCCGAGGTCGCACATTAGTGAGCGACTTGCAGTTAGGTGTTAGCCCTGCAATTAACTCATGGACGCACTGCAGAACAAGAGCCTGTGCCGGACATTTTGCCTGCAGACTTTGCAGTAGGTGTGGATGCTGTATCAGTTAAGATCAACCACTTGAGATCAAATGTCGGGATGCACAAACTCACTGAGAACTGGTTTATATTGTTAAAACAAAAAAGGCTGAGGATTTTCTGGGACTATTTTTATTTAACCTTTTCCATTTCTTCATCCTGCTTCTTGCTTCGCCCACCATCACGGTCGACAAATGACCACAGCCATCTCTTTGCGATATCTTGAACCGTCGCCTCGCTCAAGTCCGTATACTTCGCCTTGCTGGCAGCTGAGAAAATAAAAAGCATTGAGTTTAGACATAAAATTACAGTCAACAACGTTTATTGAACTCGCAAAAACTCTCTACCAGTCTGACATACTCAGCAATTCGATATAGACCGACACAATGTTTACTAACAAACCCGCGTTTGCCCACACCAGGTGTGGGCACTGCGCACGCGCAGCAACCGAATTCGAGTGAACTGAGGCTTCTGCGCATGCGCAGTGCCGTCGACAGCACCACCGCAGCTGCGTGACGTCAGGGAGGCGTGTGTGTCTATAAAAGTTCTAATGATTTTGACAACAAACAAGAACGGCACATTTAGGAAAGTTGTTTGCTCTCAAAGGAGCGTCTGTATGTCACGAGGGACGCGTCACGCAGATAGTCAGTGGCCGTTTCTTCATTTTTCAAGGTCTCACCCGCTCACCCTCTCCCCACACCCTTTACAGAAGAGAATTTTTTCTTCTCTTCCGGGTGGTCGACACGGCCTCTTGAAAGAGAAAAGCCAGCTTGCTCTACAAGCTGGCTTTTTTATTTCAAGCGGCCTCATTGCCAGCAGGCGCACTGGGGGAAAGCCAGCTCTGCAAGCTGGCTTTCCCTCAAGGGCTTTTCTACATTGAGTGAAAGCCAGCTTGCAGAGCAAAACGGCGCTCTTGGTAGTTCAATCTACACATGGGTAGCACGCGACGTCATCCAAAAAGCGCTACGATGACCACCAGGGAGGAGGGCAAGAAGAAGCTTGCCTCTTATCAGGGCCCCCTTTTGTGCCTCCCAAATCCGGTTCTACTCTACCACACACCAATTAGTCTTAGCTTCTCACTTGTGGGAATAAGATGCAGAAAATTGGTTACTAAGTAGTTGCCAGGTCATTACTCACTCAGAAATTCTAGTTTTGCAGGCACCTCCTCTCTTCTTCGCCCCCCCCCCCCTAAAGCATTTTGACCTGCTTCAAATATGCTGACACATAGGCCAGCACAAAGCAGACAGACCACGAGTGCTGCATCAGCATTCGGCTGGGGCTCGTGTTCTCACTGATCAGACCAAGAACTAGAGATGAAGCAAACATTTTCCAAACCTGAGGTCTGAAGAATTCAAAGATGTTAAACCTTTCTAACTTTGGCACTAACAAATATAATACTGAACCTATCATGTCAAAAAATTCGACTATTTTAGTCATTATTTCTCTACAGATTTGTCGAACTTCGAACGCGTGAAGTCCAAAAGTTTGACGAAGCTTAAACTTTTGATCTGAGGAACTTCTAACGAAACAGGATTCAATCGGTACCTACATGTTCAGAACACATAGCAACTGCTTCAACGCTTGAACCATGCTTGAACTGTGCAGATAACAATTGCTGTCGCATGAGACTGACTCACAGCTCAACGAGGCAAGCTAAGTGGCCGAGTGCCGACCTGCCCAGCAAATGCAGCAAGCTATCTGGTGGTAGCAACAGCTGTACCCATCTCTGTTTTCCGCAAGCTTTGTTTAAACTCAGTTAAACAGAGCTCACACATCAGAAAATTAAGAAATCACTCGAAACTAAAACTGGGACCCTCGTGCGATTTGAAGACTTCTAACTTTACAAACTTATACTTGGAACAAAACTCTTAATCTTCGAATAATTCTAACTTAAACCAAGAAGTTTCAAATCTTCAAATATTTTTAGAATCAAAATTGCAAAAAAGAAAGAGGAAACTGTTGAACTCTACTTTTATCGACATCGAAAGCAACTTTGTAAATTCAAACCATGGCAATGTTCGAAAGTTGTTCACTTTGCAACCCTTTCTAACTCTACCAAGGACCCTGCCGAATGCAGATGCGGCACTCGTGTTCAATTTGTGCACTGCAGTGGCCTACCTATGCACTGTCAAATTTGAAGCATGCAGGCCTTAGAGATTTCAGATGTTGTCTAGACCCCCTGGTGGCAATCAGTTCATCAAAGAATGTCTCACCGACAAATTGCTTTGTCGATGAAGACTGTCTGTTTCAGCAACACATCTTGCCACATTTCATAGATAGCTTCCTTTTCATGACAGCCTTGAAATTGATCTTTGTTAACATGAATATCGCCAGACCTCTTTAGGATCGAAGCTCGGCCAACAGTGCCCCATATCCGCCCTTTTGATTGCTAGCATAGCTTTCTAAGAAGGCTCACTGCAAGTTCAAGCCCAAGAAGAGATTTATTTTCCCCTTGCAAAGCAAGGGGTGACTGCACAAAGCGCGGCATGTTTGGAATTGTAGCTTGCTATCACGGTGCCAATCAAACATCGCAACAGTTAAGGTTGCGTAATGAGTGTTGAGAAAATGTGCACTGATGAAAAAGTTGTTTATCAAACATGCATGGATAAAACGATAGCATCATGGGCATCCTGCTGAAATTGCAAGGCATTAATATGAGGTTACTAATGTTGCTTCCTCCAAGAAAAGTTTGAACTAGTAGCTAGCCACGGCTAGCATTCCGCATCGACTGCTATCTGTGGACTGGATGCCGTGAAATTACAAAATTACCTATCTTTGGTGGTGCATGCAGAGCTGCAGAAATTATTAAAAAGCAAGCAACGACATCACACTTCAGCCAATCCCGATCCTCTGTTTACGTGCTCTTTAACAAGCCAAGATGTCATAAATGTTCTCACCCCTTCGGAGAAGTTCCCTGCATCCAGGTTGTGGTAGACGCGGCTCTCTTCAGCCCTGTAGGGAGCAGAAAAAAAAGACGGCCTCAAGTAAGCAGGAGTGCACAAGAGATAAAACCAAGAGCAAAATTGAATGTGTTCTGAAAGTGGGACCAGCTATATTAGCTTGAGATATTTCATAATGAGCCCGAACTAACCTGATACATGATAAGCTGGCAGGACTGAACCTGAAGTAGAAGACATTCAAACACGAAAAAAGAGAGATGCTTAGACCGAATCAGAAAGAGTGAAACTGTTTTGTAGATACAGAAAACAATGCTACAAAAACTATAGGTATGTTAGCAGTGTTTTTTACACTGTAGCCTTTGCAATGGCTCCCTGAAACAAAGGTAGGACTTATGAACTCTTACCCACATTTCTGACACTTCTCTGGCAATCCATTAAAAGGAATGCAGGACTGACGCTCAATTCATGCAGACTGCTTTTGTAATATCCTACCGCAAGAATGCACAACTCTGATGACAAAAATGTTTGGATTGAGGCCACATCTGTTGCCTCAGGCCTAGAGCCTAGAATAGGCCATATTGCTTAACCCAAAGCTACAGCATATTTAAGCACCATGTTCCCAAATGTTCTTGTGTTAGAGGTATGGTGAACAACTAAGGCACTTTTTTTATTTCTTATTTCAGAGTGCCATTTTCCGAGCTATCTAGAACAGCGAACAAAAAGCTCAATCGCATGGTCGTCTGAAATAAAAGCTTTCATAAATTTGTTTTTAGAGCCTTTTCAAAAGTTTGTACCAACACCCGGCCACCATTGCTTGCTCACATACTCTGAGCATGTAATGGACACGGCAGTTGCGTCAGCATTCGGCGTGAACTTAGGTCATATTGCAAATGAGCGCTCTGTCAGAGTTCGTCGAGGACTCGGATCCAATCACAGGCTTCGTGATTGGATTCGAGTCCTCGCCGTGTCGATTGTACCACGTAAGTGAAAATAGATTATGTATATAATATTTGAAAGTATGAAAGATTGAGCCCAACAAAGTCAGAAATCAAAGACCACCAACAAGGCATTATAGACTACTGACATTTCTTGGGGACCCCATGGTCAACACCTGTTCACTTCATGGCTGAGAGAACTACCCTGGGCGCAGGCTGGGGACATTTTTGTCTGGAAGCTTCGTTGGACAGCTAGTGCACTAGTACCCAGTTACACGGGCGCTCTCAGCTGCCATTGAGTCCAACAACAGTCGAGTCCATCGCGATAAGCCAAAGTTACACGGCAGCGCCAACCGTCATTGAGCCGCTAATGACAGTTGAGTTGGACTGAGCTCCCCCACCTCAGTTCAACCGAACGGACTTCGCCAACGAAGGTAAATTGGCACCTGTTCGCGGGACCGCTGCCAGCAACCATTGTTTGTGAGGCACTTACTGTTTCGAAATGCAGGGGGAGGCGTCTAAAAAGAATCGTAGCAGCAGAATTCTCGGGAAGGAATAAATTTAGGCGTCCGAGCTGCCAATAATAGCATCCCGGCTAGCCGGCAAGATTCCAAACGAGCAAAAATGGCGGAGGAACCTGCTGCATAAATAGACAAATAGTAGTGGGGCACCCATCATAGTGGGCAGTAGCTTGCACCACCTAGCCTAAATGATGTGCAACCTAGCCCTGAATCTGCTTTGGTACTCGTGTAAATGCCGCTAAAAAGCAACAAGGTATCAAACCTATAGAATGATCTACTTAAAATAAATAAAACGTGTGTCTCCGAGTAAATTACTATAAAAATTAGACTGATCACACGGCACAAGAACCAGTTTCGTGCTAGCTTTAACTGGGTTCTAGAGAGTTGAGTTGAGTTCAGTCAAAGTTGAGGCTGATAAATGTCGTAGACTCAACGATAGTTGAAAGTGTACGTGTGACTAGGGTAACTAGGGGACTGGCTTGCAAGGTTTCAAGGACAAGCAATTCTAACTGATGTGGTACAGTCTGCAGCAATATGAAATACCCACTCAGAGCGCATGGCCGAGGCGGTGGCCGAAAGGGGCGCAGTACATGATTCGGACAGTTCCATGTTGCTCAGAGGGGAGGCTCGCTCAAGGCTGAACCACTGTTGGTTGTTTCAGGCACTGCACAAAATTTTCCATCCAGAATTAAATGTTGCTAACTGACAGCTCTCAGCTGTCTGTATACATCTTTCGTGCTTTCATTCTTTCAATTTTAACTACTGAATTTTAGAATGTGCGTGCACTAACCAGACTGACCTACACTCAGTGATAAATCAAGATCAAAGAGCGAGGAAAACGAAGGTGGGAAAGGAGAAAACAGATGGGGTGTTGAAGGTGAGAGGACAAAAACCTCTTCTACCTTCAGTCTGCTTTCTCCTATCCAGCCTTCGTTTCCCTTGCCTTTTGTTACTGACCTGTTACTGACTATAAGTATTTAGCAATTTTACAATTGCATAAGGAGCTAAAGTTATTCATGCAAGTTTTGATTCACATTGAATAATAATTTATAATGAACAGCCTTATACCGGGACACACTCTTTCTCTTGAGGCATCGTCCGAAGAGTCGCTGTCCATATGGCCAGCAGGCCTCCTCGCCCTTTCCTGTCTTAGGGCTACATCCGGTCTGTCAGTCCAAATTGGGTGCTCAGGCAGCTGCGACCAGATGGTCTGAAGCGTGCTGCAGTGTGGCTGCATGAGAAACGATCATCTCAATTATACGCTCAATTAAAAAAAAAATCGCCAACCTAATGTAGGAGTGAAGAATCTTCACTGGGTGATTCGACCAAGTCAGTGTAATCTGTTCTTTCTCTAAAATTGCACTAAGGACCTGCTGCTTTTGCTTGTAAGGTGGCCAGTAGGAGACAACTTGCTCTAGCTTCCTCACCAGCCAACACTCCGTGACGACGTATGCGCTCCCTTCACCTAAAGTGCATGACGTGGTAGCTATAGAGAAAAAGTGTGGAATATGCATTCTACCAGAATATTAGAACCTATTTTAGACAGCTTGGGCAATGTTGGGGGCCCCGCCAGCAACCACTAACAAACCACTGCCAGATTTGTTTATTTTTGGATGGAGAAATCCGCTAAACAAATTTTTCAAAGTTACTTACAAATGCAGGTTTCTGATACAAGCATAATGCACTAAACTCACAAAAAACTGTAGCAGAGATCCAAAATAAATACATCTAGCAAAACAGGCACGTCTAACTTTCAGCGAGACGCAAAACGTCTGCACTTGACCCGCAGCGCGTGACATCTTTTCGCCGCACGATTTGAAAAAGGAGCTCACTGTCACTCACGAGACGCGACCACAGACTGAACAGTGAATACGCTACACTTAGGAGCGAAGCAAGAGGTCTGTTTAGGGCATAGGTTCATCATGATGTTGTTCAATTGATGTCGTGATGCTTCTGCTATCTATTTCAAGCCAAAATAAGAAGTCTTTAGCCACTTTACTGTCAGCCCCTGTTAATGTTGACACAGCAAGGCTGGGGTGCAAAGACCAGGCACCTAGCCAGGGGGGGGGGGGGGGACCATAGGGCCCCCCCCCCTGGCTAGGTGCCTGGTCTTTGCACCCCAGCCTTGCTGTGTCAACATTAACAGGGGCTGACAGTAAAGTGGCTAAAGACTTCTTATTTTGGCTTGAAATAGATAGCAGAAGCATCACGACATCAATTGAACAACATCATCATGAACATATGCCCTAAACAGACCTCTTGCTTCGCTCCTAAGTGTAGCGTATTCACTGTTCAGTCTGTGGTCGGGGGGGGACCATAGGGCCCCCCCCGCAATCTTCCATTTTCCTGGGACCTCCTCCCCCCCCTCATACAGCATTTTGTCATGGGCGGGCGCGCTCCTCCTCTCCTGCTCCTCCTCCTCCCTTTCCTTTCCCCTCCCCTCCCCTCCCCTCCCCCCCCCCCCCAAAAAAAAATCCTGGCTACGTGCCAAGCAAAGGCCCCTGTCGAAACTTCACTGCCCAACTACTCAGCTGCTGTGTTGTAACGCAAATGAAATTCTGAATGAGAAACACCAATCGAAAGTTAGACATGATGATTGAAAACCTGAGACTGGTTAAAAAATGGAAGAGATGCTCTCTGTCACTTTGTCTTTCTACTATGGTGCCTGGAACGCGTCTCCGACTGGTGTGTTTACCGTGTCCAAAAAAGTGGTCCCTCGATTTCCGCCTGATGACATCATAAAAGTGTCATGCTGTCGCTGGTCGCGAACCTGGTGGCGTCCCAATAGTTGTGGTGTATGTGGCGACGCCTGTCCTGCTGCAGGTCGCTCTCCACTGTGACAGTCCACGGAAGCTACAGCAGCTGCAAGTTGGGACGCCGTGACGACAGCGACACTCGCGTTCGCTTGTGCTTTTCGCCAGCATTTCTATGGCCAACCGCCAGGATCGCGACAGTCAACAGCATGACACTCCGGCTTCTGTGACGTCATCTGTTGCCACTTCGGGACCACTTTTGATGTATGGGCGGGATAGGACGCTAAACACACCAGTCATAGACGCGATCCAAGCACCATACTTTCTACATCACGTTTTTCCGTTTTCCAACCACAGACTCAGGTTTTCAATCGTCATGTATAACTTACACCAGCTCGCCCGCACTTTAACCGTTTTTTCATTGAAAGTTAGAAATGAACGAACTTCTGGGCGAGATCGAAACAATCGAAAGCTAACATTTTTGTAACGAGCAGCTGCAGACTGCCGCCGAAAAGCGGCGCGAGTGCAGTGCTGGGGAGTGGGTTAAGACACGCCTCCGTTATTCACTCAAATGGCGTTGTTCGCTAAAACGTCATTCACGCATATGATATAATCAATTACCAGTAAAAAATCAATTATAAAAAAAAACATTATCAGTAAAATATTAATTATTAAAAAAAAATCAATTATCGGTTTAAATAAAAAATAAAATATATTTATTTTCAGCGATAATTGTCAAAAAGAAAATGTGTAAATATCGCAAAAAGCTATCAATTACCACTAAAAAATCAATTATAAAAAAGAGCACTATCACTAAAACATTAAGTATGAAAAAAAATCAATTATCGGTGGAAACAAATAATAAAATATATATTCATTTTCAGCGATAATTGTCTAAAAGAAAATGTGCAAATATCGCAAAAAGCTTGACCAAAAAAAAAAAAAAAAAAACAAAAAGGATACCCACTGGGGATCGAACCCGGAACTTCTGCGTGAGAAGCGGACACTCTACCACTGAGCTACTGCCGGCTCGGATATTTCTACTCTTACAATTCGTGTTATACAAGAAACAACATGCCAGTTCGGCGTTCGCGACAGTTTTTCTTCGTAGGTTTGTCATGACGGTTATCACACAATCAGCAGAATCTAAAAAGTGCACAAGAGCCGCTAACATGCCGCTGACATGCCGCCGACCGCCTGATTTTGCAATGACAAGCCAGTTGCCCGAGCTTCCCCGACCTTGCGAACCAAGCGGGCTGCGACGACAGCGTCATCACGCTCGCACGAACGGACGGGGCCGCCTTTCCGAAGCACCGCTAATGCAGAGCTTGTCAACTGAGCCGTTACTACTAACCCTATGCCCATTGTGTTCCAATCACTTTGCAAAACAAAACACCGAGTAGAAAATGGACTTACTCCTTGATCAGCGTATTCATGGCCTCTTGTCTCTGGACGCCGCCGCGTGCTATCTTGGGTAGCTTGAAATGTGCACAAACCGATAACAAAGCTTCTCAAATCGTCGAACCTTGAACGCCTTGAACCGCTTGAAGTTGAACTAGGCCTGATGAGTTCACCATCAGCCAGTTGCACCGGCCCACCGGCCATTGCACCGGCATCAGCGCGACACGATCGAGTGGATGGGTGAATAATAAAATTATAAGTTCTCTTTTTGCAATGGGAGGTAGTTCGCGCCACCTGGCGGACAACTATCACCGCGCAGGGAATCTAGTCAGATTTTCGGGGATTAGGACGAACTTGAATATATTTTAATTAAAGCACCCGTCACTTCTCTTTTATGCAAGAGTCGCCAGTTTTCGTGTTCACCCTACGCAGTCGGTGTACAGGGTCGTGGGTATGCATAAACAAGTAATGGCGGAACTGGCGGAACTTGCTGGGACGAAATCACTTCCGGTTCACCTGCTTCATCTGTATGTTTGCTCGGTGAACAGAGATAAGCAGCGCGCCTTTTTTTTTTTTTTTTAGTTTTTTTTGTTTTTTTTGTTGGAAAATCGGAAAAGGTATGTCGAAGACCGGGCAATTGGCCTTGGACCGGACCTAAGATAGATCGGTGTATGTTTCTGGACCTTACGGAGCCATGAAGAAGCACCGCATCTCGTTTTATTTGGCCTCCGTAGCCAAAGTTACGTAACCCTATGTGACGGGTCAGTGGAAATCTGTGTACACGTGAGACATTCAACGAAGTTAGACGCCCACAAATCAACCGAGGCATCGGCATGTGATTGTTTTGTGTTTTTCGTGCACGGGAGAGCGTTTGTGAGAACTGCATCGCATCGTCAACTGCGCGGCGTCGCGGTGAGTGCTCGAGCTGGGCAAAGCGAGACTACGCTAAGCCTGTCGGACGTAGTTGAACGAAGGTGCGCAGGATTGTGCAACTGGTGCTCGATCGTGCCGTGGAAGAAGAGGCGGTGCGTTTTCGACGACGTGTAGAGATATCGTGATCGGGACAAAGCCGTCGCACTGTGTATAGTACGATTGTGCCGTTCGTTCCCCTCAAAAAGCTAGCGGCGTGTTTTCGACGACGAGTGTAGGTCTCGTGATTGTGACAACGTCGGCCTACCACGGCGGGAAGTGTGATTCGTTCGATAAAGTTCTTTCGTTGTCTCGAAGAGTCGGATATGTGTTTTCCTCCATTTTTTCACCCAATATTTTTAACCATGGCTTAGATAGGAGAGTTTTTTTTTTTTTTTGTTTTTTGCTCTGCACGCGCTGCCAATAGCCCAATGTGCTTCTTTTGTAGCCATTTGACGACGTCCTTACTGCTACCAGTCACCTTGAGGTTTCCTCAGGTGGAGAGAGACCCGACTTCTCACCGTGATTTCACCCAATATTTTGTGACTGTAGCTTATATAATTTGGTTTTTAAGTGATAGAACTTTTCTGTTATATTTGATATAGCAATACTGCCAGCCAGGTTTTGGTTATGAAATACATGTGCTTATTGTGTGTTTGTTTTCAGGTTTTCTGGTTTTATCTTGGCGAGAAATCTGTGATTAAAGAAAAGCTGTTGTTATGAAGAATTTTGTAATTGGCAAAAGAATACCAGAGAAAGCTTTTTTTCATATTCTGGTTCATTTTTGTTGTGTACAACAAGTCCAGAATTCACTGCTCTGTTAAAGGCACAGTCATTTTTTAATGTTTTCACATTTTGTACATATAATGTGTGTTCAAATAATAAAATATAATTTTTATCCATATGAAGTTTTCTGAGCCAATTTTATAGTATGGAACGCGCCACGGCCTGGATTCCTCAAGTGTTAATACCTTCTCCCAGTCTTACCTGGCCTGGGCAAACATGTAGCCACCTACATGTGACCAGACTTAATATTTGCAGAACAAGCGGAAGTCATTGCTTACCAAGCCTGTGGCTTGTATACTGTATTGTAATGGGCAATGTAATGCCAGAGGATTGGTGGTCCTGAATAAAAGCAGCACTCCGCACACCCATGTTCTATGGGACACTTTTTTGCCTTTGTTGACCAATTTGAAACAAGCCAAATAGGGTGACCATCTTTCGGATTGGTGGCCTGGGATAAAAGGAGCGGTCAGTACCCAGTCTTCTACCAGACAGTTTTTTTTTCATCATTGAATAGGTTACTGCCAGTCAACACTGGTCGGACATGTGCTGAGGATGTTTTTAGGACTGGTGGCCGGGGATAAAAAGTGTGGTCAGTAGCCAGGCTCCTACTGAACACTTTTTTGTCTACGTTGACCAAGTTACTGCCGGTCAACATTAGCCGGAAAGGCGCTGAGGACATTTTTAGGACTGGTGGCCGGGGATGAAAAGAGTAGTGAGTCCCAGGCCTCTACCGGACACTTTTTTGTCTTCGTTGACCAGGTTGCTGCCAGTCAACATTGACCAGACAGATGCTGAGGATGTTTTTAGGACTGGTGGCCGGGGATGAAAAGAGAAGTGAGTCCCAGGCTTCTACCGGACACTTTTTTGTCTTCGTTGACCAGGTTGCTGCCAGTCAACATTGACCGAACAAGTGCTGAGGATGTTTTTAGGACTGGTGGCCGGGGATGAAAAGAGTAGTGAGTCCCATGGCTTCTACCGGACACTTTTTTGTCTTCGTTGACCAGGTTGCTGCCAGTCAACATTGACCGGACAGGTGCTGAGGATATTTTTAGGACTGGTGGCCGGGGATGAAAAGAGTAGTGAGTCCCAGGCTTTTACCGGACACTTTTTTGTCTTCGTTGACCAGGTTGCTGCCAGTCAACATTGACCGGACAGGTGCTGAGGATATTTTTAGGACTGGTGGCCGGGGATGAAAAGAGTAGTGAGTCCCAGGCTTTTACCGGACACTTTTTTGTCTTCGTTGACCAGGTTGCTGCCAGTCAACATTGACCGGACAGGTGCTGAGGATATTTTTAGGACTGGTGGCCGGGGATGAAAAGAGCGATCAGTACTCTGCCTTCTACCGGGCACTTTTTTGTCTTCATTGACCAAGTTCATGCCGGTGAACATTGGCCGGATGAGTGCTGGTCACCTTTTTGAGGCGGGTGACCAGGGAGGAAACAAAGACTTGGTGGCCAAGCCCTTCCCGAACATAATTTGGTGATTGGTTGCCAATGGAAAAACTACGACTGTGTGGCCGGGGACTTAAAGGGGTCATGAAACGATTTTCCTACTTCTTCCTCCTTAGGTTTAATCGTCAACTCAAATGCGAATTGTGGAATCACGTGGTCGTGACATTCTTTCGGCACCGGTGCGATGACTCCTAGCTTCCATCGTGCTTTTTATGCACACCACCCTACTGAAAAAACCCGTATAAATATTCATACGGGTTGACCAGTTTAATTCATACGGTGTTATGGGCATACGGGAACCAGTACACAAACTGGTCTCCCCGTATGTGAACCGGTCTCCCTGTATGTGAACTGGTCTTCCCGTAAGTGAACTGGTCTCCCCGTATGGGAACTGGTCTCCCCGTATGGGAACTGGTCTCCCCGTATGGGAACTGGTCTCCCCGTATGTAAACTGGTCTCCCCATATAGATATGGGGACCTGTCATACGTGGGATTAATCCATTTGCACCTAGGGACATGAAGACAGATCTAACCACCCAGTTTTGCCTTGCCACCGCTACCGTAATTTAATCCGGGAACTGAAGTCCTTTTGGATGTGCCATAGCCTAGCTGCTGTGGGTGCACGCAAGCAGCGCATGAACCAGCACAAGCCGTCTCATGCACTAGCACCTGGCCCTGTGACCCTCAAGCATGCGCAGAACAACTGGTGAGATCAGTCTATTGATACGGATTGACCCATGTGAATGTGGGAAAGGGGACCTATGTTTGTCATGCAAAGAAAGAGTATGAGGCGGGTCATTCCAGGATAATAGTTCTATTGAAAAAATACATGCCGAAGCTTGACTACTAAGCTTCTTAGTGAAGCTTAGAAGTCAAGCTTCTTATTTATATCTTGGAGCAGCTCGCTCAGGTAATGATTGATCAAAGAGATCCTCTTGGATGGAGACTTCTCCCTTGGGTTCCTTTCCACATACTTGTGAAAGGCATCTGAAAAAGAAAAATATACCAATCAGTCATGCACTGCTCCTTTGTCTGCCCTCAAAGTTTATACAAAAAAGCATATTTATTTGTTGCAGTCATGAACAAAGCTATTACACATTAAGTTTTGCTTTGCTTATGACATGAACGGGCCCTCCTTAATTGCTTTTAGCCCCTTATTGTATGCTCGTGAGAAATCTTTGAAAACACTGAGCAAATGCCCTTTCTAAAACATGCACTGACAGCAAGCTCTTAAAAATTAATTTCATACTCTCAAAGCCGTAGGTCATGCTGGATGACAGGGTGATTTACCTACAGCTTGTGCTGGTAACCACATATGAATACCTCATAAAGCACCCCCCTTCATGAAGCTTGGCATGTGCATTAAGGAGGACATGGTCCTGGAGAATATTTTCTTTTTATAATTTTGAAGCTAGGTGGTTGAAATCTGCACAGTTAGTACATATTGAGCTCCTCTTGTGATATATGTAGTCAGTTTTCTGATACCTGCCTTGGTGAAATATCTGTTGCCGTATGAAGGCATATAAAATGCCTTTGTTGTGCACCCTTTTTCTCTGAAATTTACTTATAAGAGAGCATTTTAAAATAGCCTGGTTGCATCCTTGTGAACAGTAGAGTGTGCAAATTCACCCCCAAAAAATATCTATGCCTCGAGAGAAAATAAAAAATGGTAAACTATCGAGTCATCCCTTTTTATGTTTCACTTTTAGTTACTAGCAAGATTTGCCCACTCTATACATCACCAGGAACAGCTGCGCAAAATTTGGTTGCGATACAGTAACCACAAACGGTGAAAATTGTTTGCACAAACTTCGAAAACAGGCAAAAATACCAGTATATGTATATTTGACAGCTTGAACCAGGGGAAGATATATAGAGAAATTGAGACAGGAGAGAATAGACAGAATACCAATTTGAGAAACGCAAACGAATGTTTAGATTTATGT